ACTTTAACATACATACAGTGGTTAGAAAAATTATAGCCTCATCGCATTTTGACAAATTTTAACATATTATTTTTGTTGTTATTTAATTTTGATTATTTTTTTTTTATAAAAATATAATTCATTATTTAACAAAACCCGTTTAAATGCAAGTTTCAAACTTTGTACAATATTAAAAAAAAAACTACAAACTTTCCAAAAAATTTCGAGCTCTTTTAATTATACTTCCTAGAAATATTCTGAGTATGCAGTTTTGTAGCCCATTGAATTCTTGTGGAATAAAGCGCAATTTCAAATAGCTAAAAATTACCGTTGATTTTTTTTGAATTTCTTTGTCGAAGATGTAACGGTTTTTTCCATATAAAAATAAATTGTGTATATACGATGCATGGAAGCAAATAGGACAAAAAAAAAAATTCTAAAAAATCAACCGTAATTTTCAGCTATTTGAAACTTGTATGTAGAATTCAATGAGCTACAAAACTGCATACTCAGAATCTTTCTGGCAAATCTATTAAGAAAAGCTAGACATTTTTACGAAAGTTCGTTGATTTTTGTTTTAAATATTGCGCGAATTTGAAATTTGGCTTGACACGGGTTTTGTTAAAGAATGAACTATATTTTTATAAAAAACGGAATAACCAAAATTAAATAACAACAAAATTTTTTTTCGACCAATGTATGTACATATTTTATTCGTTGCACAGTGTGAGTGATCCGTGTTTGGGTAAAGAAGGCAAGAGGAATAGCAGCAAATGACTTCAGTAAATTTTTAGCAAAGCCTTCGACGGGGGCATGACGCACAGGTTAACTTTATCTCGATAATATTAATAAGTACGCTAACGAAATCCCATACAAATCTATTCCTCCTACTGCTCCTATTAATTATACAATTATTTAACAGAAAATATATAAATCCACCTAATAATAGCCGTCATCGATTCGACAACAGTAAGCAAGTGGCGAAACCAACGAACTCAATGAGGAACATCCAAACTCGCTATCGTCCATCTGTGCTAGTTAACTTTTTTGTTGCTTTCAATTGCAAAATTTTTCCTTAACCCTTTCGGTACATCTTTTTAGATTCGGGCTTTAAAAATCCAAATTTCTTATTAAATTATCTTTAATACCTAATATAATAACATGCAATTTAATTTTTTTTCCAAAATGCGATTCTAAAGCGTTTTTTGGAATGATGCCATATGGCATAATTTGTACTAACTGGTGTAAAAAATATGCAAAGATTTTTTAATATGGTATTTTATTTTATTCAAATCAAATTAAATAACACCACAAAAATTTAATAAAACAAGTTGGAACATGCATAGATTTAAAAATTCATTTAAAAAATTTACCAGTTGCAATTTCCCAGTACAAATACATCATTATTTGCTGGTGCGGATTTCAGTTCCTTCAAATATTATTGATGCCATATGGCATCATACACATTTAAAAATATACCACGCGTTTATTAGCACTTTTTTAAATTAAATTACAGATTCTAGCAATATTTTACACTATTTTGGAGCTATAGCTTATTTATTTTCAATTTATTTGGTTACTTGGTAAAATATAGTATTTTAATGCGGCAACATTATTGATATTTTAATATAAAAGCAAAAATTGAGCTCTTTTCTATTAAAATATTTGTTATTATGTACCTGCTTGGATATGAAATAACAAATTTTATAAATATAGTTTATAGCGAAAAAAAAATTCATAGATGAGAAAGCGTTGAGCCGACTAAAATCCATAGTTGCAAATTCAATAAAAAACACTGGCAGCCAATGCCTTTCTTTGAATGACTTTTATTTAAGCAACTTATTAAACAACAATAAATAAACGAAAATCAATTGATCAATTTACGTAATTCAAGGTCAGTTGTTGTTGTTTTTGTTTTTTTGCCACATAGTTTGTGCACGTGAATCTGAATGTTCCGTTATACGGTTGTCATCCTCGTCTACTGGTGTGACGCGGTGAAATGAAGGCCTTTTGGACTACATATTGACTACTAGCCGGTGGGCGGAAGTGGGCGGAAACTTGACATTGAGTTCACTGTAGACAGGAAAAATAGGTTTGGAAAAGTGTAAATATAAAATCCACTGGTACAACAAATAAATAACAATAACAAAGCAAACGATACGCTTCTGGCAAAATTTTATAGCGGAAAGAAAAAGTCAAAGGGAAATTTCTGGTGCAGGCGAGATGGCAAAGGAGAGGGAAGGGAACGCGAAATATTTCTGGCTTTTAGTGTTAAATTTCGATATTTGTTGTGGACAACTGCCAACGCAGAAATGGCAAAAAGAAATATACTCGAAAACAAAAAGCCAAAAATAATTAAAAAATAAGACTTTGTAAGTTCGCATTGCTTGCCTTTTAATGAATTGGAGCATTTCCACAAAGTGATTTTTACTTACCTGCAATTATTCACGAAACAATTGGCTATAATTAGCCAATTTTGAAAATGTATGTATGTATGTTGTACGTACATACATATGTATTCCGCATAGTTACGCAAAAGCTTTACTATCTTTACTTGCAGGCATCAAAGAAGCTACGTTTTAGTCTGATTTTTTTTTGGTTTTTTAATTTTTTGAACGAAAAATACTGGCAACAATATGTCCCACTCCTTTTAACTTTATTCGCCATAGCCGGACCGGAAAGGCCCGGATTCCTACATTCGTGTTTTCTTAAAGTGAAAGTTCTATACTCTCTTATACTAGGTTCACATATAAGTAGATTATCCTCATTTTCGAGCTTAACACCCTAATCAGTACTTTGAACAAGAGATTAGCCATATAAAGCTCGTCCCTTGTTAATCTGTAATTATAAAATAATCTCAGATTTAACCGATAACTTTTCGGTGTCCATTCTAGTTTTATCGATTGTTTTTGCGAAAAAGAGGAGGAATGCCAAATGTAAAAGTAAAAAAAAATGGACGCTAGCAAGAAAAAGAGGTTTGTGAAGGCATTTTTAATAAAATGTTCTGCTTTTGATGTTGTGACACAACACCGAAGAAGCTTTTTTATGGCAGAAGTACCCCCCCGAAGGTTTGCTATTTTCTGCTGTGGCGCGACCGCTTTTTGGAAATTGAACCCTGCACGTCCCGAGTTGCAGTAGGCTCTAAGCACTCGGCTACGACGGCAAAAGCAATAATCAAACAGCCTACTCATTACCTATTGCGGTATCCACGTGACTGTCTGAATATACCAGCCTTAGAGCCCTAATCTTTGACAAATTTATAATTTCCAAGTTGATAACTAATAAATTTCTCCACTGAATTTCCAATAAAAAAAATTTAAAAATATGTGCCCGTGGCAGTTCTCTGGTACGTATGTATGTGTATAATAATAAGTGAAAAGATACCCGGTGGGAAAATGGGAATGCATTACCTTTTTCTACCAAGAAATGATTAACGAATTGATGCATCGCAATGTAAGCGAGCGGATGATGTCTAGCTTTGAAGCCACAAACAAAACAAAAAGTTTGAAGCTAACTCAAGTATGTTTTTTGTTCACGTTATCTCAACAACCGCTGTAGCCGAATTGATGCGTGTTCGACTGCCGTGTTGTTGGTCACGGGTTCGAAACCTGTGTCACGGAATTCTTAATTTTATTTATAGATTCTAGTTTCGTAAAGCGAGATATGAGACACATACTTTCGTATGTCATCGCTGTGGATAAATTCTTGCATCTTTTCGTGCGTCGGTCTTAGGGCCGTTTGCACCATGTCTAGTTAATTCTAACTCCCAGTTAAACATCTTTATCGACGTTATCGACACCCATCATATAACATGTGATCGATAAAGCAGTTAACGTGCTTAACTGAAGGATGTACCTCCAGTTAGCGTTAACTAGACATGGTGCAAACGGCCCTTAGGGGCTATCCATTAGTTTTTGCATTCCCAGACACTACCTTTTCCCACTGGGTAAGTTTCAACATATACATACATATGTATGTATAAATCTAATATATACCCAATAAACATTTTTGTTAAATCTCAATTTGAGATGCATTTGATAGCGTTCTCAAACTAAAAAGCACATTTTTAATACTGAAGTTTCCTTTACTTTCAAATGGAGAAATATTCAATTCTCAACTTTTTCTCAAGCATGAAATCGATGCATGTAAAAGATTTTTTATAGTAAAAGATTTTTTTGTTCGATTTATTGCATTTTCAATAGAGTATAAGCCTCTTTATCATACATACAAACAAATAAGTTTTTTTAGCATACAATTATTATTTCATTTTAACCTCGCTTTCAATGCAGTAGACTGTTTCTTTCTTTCGTTTTTAAGTTTTAATGCATTTCAAATCACTCGGACGAGGCGCGAGTTTTCGACAGACAAAATGCGAATAACAACGAAATGCTAAAGAAAAATTTCTCAAATGTTTTTCAAACCGTTGTTAAGTTGATAAACAACATTTGAGAAGAATTTGAGGAAATGTTGAGTTTCGAATGATAAACTGATTTTAAAACACGTTTACATACCTTTGGCTGTAGCTGAATTTGCAGAGGTGCTTGCTGTTATTGGTTAGATTCCAGAAGGTCCCAAAATTTTAAAAGGCTAAAACAAGTTCTAAATTCGCCATTTTAGATATAGATGTCTAAAAATAAAATTGTTTTTTTAAATTAACACATTTCGCTGCTTTTAAACTGGTGGCGATCTAGCTTCTATTTGATTCACCAGTTCGGGGTTTGCCTACAGGGTATGTTTGTACATACCAGCAACAATGGTTTTGCATGCCAGCTTTCTGGCCTTTAGTCAAGTATTCACACAATTGCGATAAAATTTGCTTTACGTTCTTGAACCCTACGTGAATACAAATACAATTCGAAATCGAATACATTTTCGCAACTTTGTATTTGCTTTGAATCGCTAGTCTTTCGACCTTGCTAAGCGTTTACCACTTCTACTGCTAAAGGTCGAAGGTTGCGTGCTAAGCAAGCATTTTTTATTCAATACCGTTATTTTCTTGATATAGGGTTTGATGTGGCGTTATGTTTAGAGGTACGTTTTTTTTTCAAAAGTCTAATAAAAACAAATTAAAAAAAATTTCAAAATTACACGTTCGTCAGAAAATGCGAAATACTATGTCATAGCACATGCTAATCATATGGGCAAGGGAGAATTTACCTTAGGTTTTTTAAACAAATTATAACCAAAATTTGCTCCAGCTTTTGCTGAAAGGTAAATAAAAGCTCTGTGTACATACATTTTTAGTGCAAAATTTCAAAAATGCCAAATTTTTAGTTGTGTCACCTTTGAAGATCGTGTGGGATATAAGGCGACCATTTTTTATTTGTTTTTAATATTGACCGCAGCTATTAAAATTTGTAGCTTAGAATAATTTTACTGCATTAAAATTGGTCACATCTGACTACGCTATTATCAGTAGTGCTCAGTTTGGTCATTAATAGACTAATGTCAACCCCCAGTGCTTTATTGCAATATTCTGTTTAGTACTAAAAGTCATTTTTGGCTTAAGCTTTTCACAGTGTTATGACTTTTAGAAGCTTTTTTTAATTCTGTGGTAAACATTTTTATTACAATTTTTTGTATCACTTTTTCTCAAAAATTTTTTATGCGGCGAACGATTACGTGACGGATAAAGGAAATTAATGCTAGAAAATTGTCGTTGTAATTTTTGTACATAGTTAGACCATAAATACAGGCTTTCGTTAGGCCGTTTCATTTTGTCGCGGGGCGTAAAACAGGTAAACATAGTACCAGGAATTCCTTTATTTGATTGAAAAACTCCCAGCAAAAAACACGATTACCACAGAAACAAAAGTGGAAACGAGCTAGGCGATGGGAATCGCTTACCGTTTCGCTTCAAGAAGGCCTTATTTTAACATGGGCATGTCATTGGAGGTAAGCCCTTACCCGCAGCATTACCTTCAAACGAAGGGAGAACGCATGGATAAACAGAATCCAGAGAAGCGAACAAAGAATGCCTTACAGAGAAACTAATGTAGAATGCCTAGATAAGTACATACTTATTTATATTAAATTGAAATCAGAAAATGTCTTAAAAGGTTAAAATTAATTAAAATTTTTATAAATCAGCGTACATATGTATGTATTTAGGTATTTAGATTTTCTTTAAAATCGGTATGTACATACATGCATATTTAGTTAAGCTTAAAATTGTACTTCCTCACTGTTGTACGTCACTTCATTAACTGACTTCAACTTCGCTGCAAATTGAACAAAGCAAAACATGATTTTTATGCGAGACAAATTTCCACAGAAAGTAACGGTAGAAAAAGAATTTTTGGATATTCATTCCATTTTTCAGCTGACTACGATGCAGCATTCTACTTTGCATTCACCGAAATGAAGCCAAGAAGCGAAACAAATAAAATATTGTAGGACATTCTACTTTGCATTCCCCGAAATGAAGCAAAGAAGCGAAACGAATAAAATATTATAGGACATTCTACTTTGCATTACCTGAAATGACGCAAAGAAGCGAAACAAATAAAATATTGTAGGACATTCTACTTTGCATTCCCGGAAATTAAGCAAAGAAACGAATTAAAAAATAAATACTATAGGACATTCTACTTTGCATTCCCCGAAATGAAACGAAGAAGCGAGATAAATAAAATATTGTAGCACATTCTACTTTGCATTACTGGCAATGCCTAAAAGAAGCGAAAAAATTCGGAGGCATTCTAACGCTATGCTTTCTAGAACACGTTACCACTAAAAGCGATTACCGATTTTTTGCTGGGCTGCTTCAAAAATACTTTACTGTAAAAAATGTTTTTTTTTACGCAGCATTTTTTTTTCGAAAAGAGATACGATCCTTAGCTTTTGCATGGCTTTGCAAACTCAAGCTGCATTCGTGCGAAGATTTACTTTCAGTGACAAATATTCAATGCCTTATAATAATATAAAACTGGAAAACTCGCATACTTTCTGAGAATTTGCCAAACCACTCGTCAATGAAAGGGCGAGTACAAGTGAATGTATGCAATGTACATATATACATATTTAGGTACGTAATTTGTGCATTTCCCGTCTAATTGGCTTTATTTACCCATAAAAGCATTTGATGCCACTGGCTGTCGCTGTGCTTATTGCAACATTTCCCTTCATATCCTCCTAATTTAAGCTGCTTTTAACTCTGCAGGTGCAGGCACTGGGGCGAGTGTTCAAAACGAATGGAAGCGTACTACGTATTTTCTTGCCTCGGGCGCATAAGGCATATTTACTTCTACATGAAATTAGTTACTAGCAGTGAAACAAGAGTTTTAATGTTATTATTGACTGAAAACAAATAGCCGGAAGAATTTCCTTATACAAAATTTAGGAATATGAATAAATAAATTAATTTTATTTCTTTTACATTTTATCGATTACAGTGCTTACGGTTTTAACGTCATCCATAAAATATCACGATTACGTGACGGATAAAGGAAAAAATATCTCCATACCCTGCACAGCAGAGGGCAACGTTATGTGGGTAAAGGAAAGTGGAAACAACAGTACTATAATACAGGTGAGAGAGTGGATACTACTGACATACATAAATGTATGCAAACAAACATAAACATTTATACACAGCTATGTACATTCAAACATGCATGATAAACTTGCTTACATACATACATACATACTAGTACGTTGACATTCAAAAATCTGTGTATTCGCGGTGTTTAAGAGTCTAAAAATGTAATTGAAATGGAATCAACTATTGAAATTCGAGCAGGCGTGAATTCTTGCGGTTGGAAATGTGGCGAATTTACATAGGGCATGGAAATCATTTCCATTTGAGAAAACACAAAATTTGACGTCACTTCACAAATACATACATACATATATTTATGTTGGTATGTACATTATACCACGTTAATAAAAAAATGCTGCGATGCGACCGCGGACCCCGACTGAAATCTTAGTATTTGGTATATTAATGATCCTCCCCTCTCTACGATAATTGTAAGAGGTCGCGCATCGAGCATTTATTTTTCTTCTCTTTTGAGATCAAAATAATTTTCTAGGATCAATAAAAGCGGTGGGTCCAATTGTTCGGATGTATGTATGTTTTTTGACCAATCGCATGGTATTTTCGGTTTTTATAGATAAAATTGCAAGAGCAAATAGAGAAGAAACTATAAATCGGAAATAAATTTCTATCTTGCCCATTTTTTAAAGAAAAACTTAATAGAAGATGGAGGCCCCCACTGCGATGGAAAGATCAGGTGAAGAAGGACTTAGCTTTCCAATTGGCGTCAGTTGGCACAGAAGATGAACGACTGGCGTGCTTAGCTGAACTCGGCCAAAATCGCTTAGGCGGTTACGCTGCCAAATAAGAAGAAGAGAATGGATACAAAATGCCTATATTTTAGTTGATAACATTTTTAATTGATTTACCATATTTAGATACCTTGCACAAATACAACCCGTGTCAAAATTATAAATCCACCACATATTGACACGCTTTAACATTTTTTTTTTTTTGGTAAATATATAGTTTACTCTTTAATTCAAGTTTCAAACTTTGTGCAATTTCAAAAAAAAAAAATCGACAAACATTCGTAAAAATGTCAAGCTTTTTAGTCGGATTTCTTATAGGCGGCATACACCGTGCGTCTGACTCGTGAGTCGTGTTTCAATGCGAGGTAATGTTGCCATCATAACTCCATTGTAGATTCTTACCTATAACCATATATGTAATATTCCTATATTGGCAGTAAGAGTTAGTACCGTCCGAAAACACTACAGTACAGATATATCAATAAACACGTACGAAAGAAAAGGAACACATACGTTTATAAATAAACATGTACACAACACATAAACAAAACCAGCACTCAAGTACACAATACATTGACAAAAACGGTACTAGACTGTCTCGCTTTGATTTCGGAATGCTTACACATTGAGAAGTTAGCTTACTGCCAATATAGAAGTATTACATATATGCCTACAACACGTCGCGAAACACTAATTAACAATTGAACGTGTCTTTCCGTTCCTTGTATGTGAAACAGAATTTCCTTGTCTTGTAATGGCGGAACAGCACAATTTACATAAGTATTCTAACAAATGCTTGTAAGGAATATTTCGCGTAAATGATGGCTGAGAGTATTATGAAAATACATTCAAATCGACCATATCTACGTAGTATATAATCGGCACAATTGAAGTTAATAACTTTTTTATACCCGAGCGCACTTGTCCACAAGGGTATATTAATTTTGTTCACATAACGGTTGTTTGTAACAGCCAAAACGAATCGAGACAGATATAGACAAATGTATACATAAATGCTCAGAATGAATAGAGAAGTCGATTAAGCCATGTCTGTCTGTCCGTCTGTCCGTCCGTCCATGTACACGATAACTCGAGCAAAAATTGAGATATCTCAACGAAATTTGGTATGTAGATTTCCATTTATCCAAGGTAGGTTGGTATTGAAAATAGGCGAAATCGTACTGTAACCACGCCCACTTCCCATATAACGGTAATTTCCAGAAATACGAAAACTGCGATATTTTAGTAGCTACATTTATACTCTCTTAGTAAGCTTGGATTCCATAGTTTATCACGAAAATTTAAGTTTTTTTTATAGCCATATCACGTCGTATCGTTATCTATATAGCCAACAATACATTTTCAGTATGTGCGTTATTTTTAATAACCACGTTTATAATGTCGCGTAAGTTTTCATCTAAATATTTTGTAAAACGAATACGCTATGTTACATTACAGCGCATAATTTGTTTCATAAGTTGTAGAACAAAATATTAAACGGAAAAATCGGAAAGTATGAACATGTGTACACATTCGCGAAAATCTAATGGATAAATAAACAAATAAAAAAAAACTAAAATACCGACATTTTATAAGAAAAATTTATGAGAAAAGGCGACGAACTCGCGATAAGGTAATTTTTTCATTTAAAAATGCGCAAACTTCAAAAAACTTACTTCCACTTTCCAATTCGTTTTACCACTAAATATTTTTTTAGCACAAAGACGATTAAAGACTTCTGGACGAGCAAAAAAATTTTGTAGCGGTGACAAAAATATTTTCTCAGATGAAAAAGTTTTCGACGATAAATTCCATGGAGAAAAAACTTGTGAACGATACCGCAGAACGTGGAGTTATTATTGTTGAATTAGTGTTTTAAAAACATTCCTGTAGTTCGTTTCCATCAAGCATTAACTACAGTTTTTGCCTATTGGAGAAAAGAGATTACAACTCGAAGGGGGTAGTTGCTCATATTCAGTGCAAGTAAACGAAAGCCAAAAAGCAAAAAGTATTAAATAAACCTTTCCGATCACCCCATGTAAAAATTTTTGGAACTTAGCTGAGCTCTTAACTGCAGTTAAGCTTTTGGCGGAAATGAGCTACTAGAAAACTTATTGATGCGAGAAACTCATTTCTAAGGTTTATTTTATAACTTTACTGCGCGAAAGCTTATCATGGAATGCAATGCAGTGGATAAGCGAAAATTGTCTTGAGGCGACTTGTATTGTGTTACTCCATTGGTACAAAAATAAGTCCTTTTGAAAGGTTTTTTCTGGGTGTCGACACCTCCAAACCATACCATTACTAAATAAGTTAGACTTAGTCAGACTTGGCGAAGTATGGTTTGGAGGCGTCGATATGTATGTCGTTCTTTCGATGCTGTAAAAAATTAAAAAACTTTGATTATTTATATACATTTTGTTGCCCTCAAACCTTGGTCTTAGTCATCGGTTTCAGACAACGTAACTTTTCGCAAAAAGCTCCTAAAAATACGCCTACTAAAACTCCAATCTGGCAACGGTTATTCGGATGAAGGCATTTTATATTTCATTATCACAGCACACAGAAATGAATATTTAGGTGGGTAAAGTTTCGTAATGATTTAGTAAATATCTGAAGAAAATAACAATTAAGTTTTAAAGATATTCCAGCAGTAAATTTCCACAGAAACACAATAAGTTATAAATTAATAAACGTTAAAGATTACTTGTATTGTGATAAAAAATAATCGATTAATCAATCAGCTGATAAATAATTTAGTCGAAAAACCCCACACCCCTAATTGTGCTTGAAAGTCATCACTTCGATAATCACTTGACTTTTCCACCCAAGTCACTCCGAAACACTCTTTACTTTTAGTGTGTTTTCACTTCGCTCGAAAATTATCAAACGGCAGCACTGTTGACCACCATCTCACATGCACACTCATACCAACATGAAAAAATCACTCATACGCCGTGTCGGCCATGAATACGAACGATAATTAAGGGTCAAAACATAGTGGAGCGGCGAGCAAAGCGAAGAGCTAGCATCGATCAAAGCTTCAATTACAAACGTGTGCTCTTTGCTCGCCGCTCCACTATGTTTTTGGCCTAAGAGATTCGCTTAAATGCGATAACTGCAAATTTTTAAAGTACATCATTGGTCGTGGTGGTAAATAATTCAGTTGCTTGGCTAAATCAATCTTTTATTTTCATTACAGACTGGAAAATTTTTAATACTTACAAATATTTCGGCTGACGAGCGTGGTGTGTATGTGTGCTTTGCTGCGATTCGCCATTCTTCCAGCTTTAACTTTGACCCTAATGCAGACGCTGCTTTAAGAACAATAAATGACGATAAGAAATCAATATCAACATTTTTGCCATTATTTGGCTCGTCATCGTCGACGTCACCAACGGCATCATCAGCATCATCGAAGTCATCAGATGATACGAAAATAGCAACAATTGTGAATGCAAGTGCAACAAATGCTTCAACTACCTCATCGCTTCCAATGCCAGTGCCCACAATAGCCAAGACAGCTGGCCCCGTAACAAAAAGCACAGCCAATATATCGACAGTGAAGCAAGTTGCATTTGCTAACAAAGCCACCACCACCACCTTAGACAATGGCGACCACCAAACAATAGGAGCAGTGTCACATGCTCAATTTAGCGAAAGTCCTACACCGAACACAAGTCAAGGTGGTGTAACAGATGCAATTCTGGTCTTACAGCAAAATCACAAGCAGCTGGAAGATGAAGAAGAAGATGAGGAGGCAGAGGAATATCAAGCAGTCGAAAAGGTCAATTTGACTGTCCGCACCCCACCAGGGCCTGTTACACAACTCTACTTCAAAGCGTCAACAATTCTGGGCTTTCTTATCTGGCGCTTTAATAAAGCCAATTCCGGTGGTTACCCGGTGCGCAGCTTTACTGCCGAATTTCGCAATGTTTCGTACAATGAAACACCCTACAACCATACGTTCGAGCACGAATGGAGTCGAATGGACCCTATTAATATTGCGCCGAATGTTGTAAGTTTAGATTTGTGAAAAACGCTACATATTTTATTATGAATTTAATAGATACATACATACTTATATATGAATATATGAATATAAGTATGTATAGACCAACTAGTTATTATCTCAGTGAAAACTTAGAAAGCATTAAACACCCCTTGTCTTGGATTACATGGAGCCCAATTTTTGATTTTTTCGTTAGCGAAAAAAAGGCAAATTTAACAGTGTAGGGTTTTCTTACTTCTCCCTTAAACTATGTAATAGTTACTTTATTTCCAATTAAATGGACAACTATGCTTGGGAGTTGAAGCTTTAATTTATCCAACCCGAAGAGCCCTAAAACCCCTAATGTAAACTAATAACATTTGGTACCGAAAGTGACATAAAAAATACATACATACATTTATACATATTAGAGTGATGGAAAATAAGTAACCTAACGAAACTATGGCCTTAAAAGGTCCTATTTATTGAGAAGAAATTTTTCCCATTTGGAAAAACTTTTATTCAAATTTGAAAAGGTCTCGGTGGACATTTAAGATTTTCCATGTAAACAACACTTACAAAATATCTGAAAAAAAAAAATCTGGGCATATTCTAGTGCGGCATTAAATGACCCTGAAGCTGGTTGTCTAGACTCAAAGATAAATACGGGCTATGAACGTCGAAAAAAAACCGGTTTAGGGCTTTATGATTGAAAATATTCTTGCTAAATGAAAAAAAACTTTAACTAAAATTATATAAAATGTGTGGAAAATGTTGATTATAAACTAGATTTGTCAGAGAAGATAGAGTTTTAATCCATTTATTAATTTTATATTGCATTTTTAAACATTCATATTCTTTTTTGAATTATTAATAGTATTCAATTTATTGCAATTAAGATACGTGCTGGCGATGTAATTGCACTACTTGCAAAAGAAATTACGTTTTTTCTTCATGTTTCGTTAAAGTTTGATTACAATTTTGAATCAACACTACTTTGGAGTACTCAGTATCGATACTTTAAAAAATCGATTTCTCAGTACTTTCGGTTTGGATACTGCCCAACACTAATATGTAATTATAACAGACTGCCACTTACTCAATATGTTAGTGTTTAGCCGAACTCCTCCTCCGATGTGTGACGTGCGCCTTGATGTTTGACACACAAAGGGGAAGGACCTACAGTTTTACGCCTTACGACTCCGAACCGCGGAAAAAGTGCACTCGAATATTTGCCATTATATGTAAATAATATCGGCGTATTGACAATTATCTATTAGGAATTTAAGTACATACATATGTAAGTCCCTTCTCCCTTTCACTCGAGCGTAGTCATAACTATAAACTATAAACTAATTATTTCCATGACAAATAATAATTAGCCATCTAATAATCTATATGGTTTGCATGCAACAGATAGCCCCGTTTGTTCTGTTCTTAAATATATATATATATATATATATATGTTTTTTTTTGCAATTATATATTTGCCGCCACCCACTCAATAAGAGTCGACGTAATTTAATTCAATAATAGTAACATATTCAAATATTTTTTTTACATTGGCGAATTGCGAACATCACCGGACGGTTACAGCGGCAAATGGAAGTATATCGACTGGAGCCTAACACCACCTACGAGTTTCGAATATGGGCCAACAATCAGTTGGGCAGCGGCGAGGTAGTGACCACTAATGTAACAACACTTCCCGAAACCAAAGAGGAGGGTGAGTGCGTTATATGTGTATGGTGTATTAAGTAATATGAGTTATTCCGGTCTTCCAGACAGGATATTGCCGGTGTGTAGGTATTTAGCTGCCTATGTAGGTGTTGTGAAATGTTTATTTGAGTGTGTGTGATTGATTTTACTGCACATGAGCCAAAGAAAAAACGATATACGAGGTTCGAGTTTTTACTCTACATTTGTACTCCTACATACATGTCCACACATGTATTGTGGATAAATGTCTACGCGCTCTCATTGACAAATAATTAACTATTTTATGAAGATAGTCCGAAGTGCACAATTACATAGTTATGATATTTAAACAATTTTACTATGCCCTGTTTGAATTTTAGTCCTTGAATATTGAGGATACATTAGGTAGGAATAAGTATATGACGGCTCTTATAGAATTTCCCAAAACCGATTCGCCATTCTAACCCTCACCACCAACGCCAAATTCAACATCCGGCAGACTTGGCTAGGAAAACAGGATCAATCCATGTCTACACGGATTGCGAGAAGTTTGGAGGTGGTGTCTACACGGTGAAATGAGGAATATCTTTCAGTCCACTTTCCTGATACTGCAGTGTTTTTTTTCAAACGCAATCATGGCTTTATCAAAGGTCCAATCACTCCACGAAACAGCTGAGCCGTTTCGTAAACATATTGTACGGGTTCCTGACCATCCATGAATGTTCAATGCATAAAAAGTTTATTTAACTTAAAGTGAAAGAAATTCTACGTCACCACTACGATTATCTTCGTAAACTTGCTGATAGGACTACTTACTGTAATTAGACTACACGGCCGGCAATAGCCAAAAGGAGAGCCAAAGTTCGACGTAGTTATTTTTATCGAATTAGATGGAAATAAGATGTCCATTTTAGTTTTTACTGAGCTCTTGAGTAGTTTCAGATTAAAGGAGTAACTGTAAGCTCAGAGCGATATCACAAAGGATCCTGAGTCTAAATGAGTTCTATCACTGACTGCCGCTTAAGCCTTAAGTTAAACCTTACCATAAGTTATGAGGTTACCTTAGAATTTTGTTGTTTAACCATATTTTATATAGCAACTATGTGACTTTTTACCATCACGCCTCAGAAAACAACTACGAAAATCATGGTGGAATTATACCAGGTGAAGTAATCAGCTCTAGATTTTCAGAAAAACCAGGTCAAAGTGTCAAAAACTCGCGTTTTTTTGAAATATTTTATTTTTCACAAATAAATTATATTTCAAAGACTTCACGAATTTTTTCACAAAAATTTCAACGGAAAATTTTAGAAGAAACAATGTTGCTGGCAAATAATAAATAGTCAAATTTACCCTAAAATGCATACAAAGAAGCAACACATAAAACGTCCAACGAATAAAGGAAACATTGTAAAATATAAGGTAGTCGATTGTTAGAAAACGAACAGACAAGCTGTCTTATTACTTCATTTGTTTATTACGCCATGTACGAAAATAATGAAATAAAGTCAGTTGTGGAGGTTGTTTATATACATAAACTCAGAAGGGAACTATAATACAGTGAACCTGCTCTAACCCAAGGGACCAAAGTTCTTTCTTGGCCACCTTTGATAGCCAGGCTGATTATAAATAAAACGGTTCTATGGTTAACACTAATTTAATTGCCATTATCTTAAACTGTAAAAAGTGTCCAGTATTTAAAAACTTTATTTGTTATAGAAAATTAAAATAAAAGTTCTTACCAAAGTTATGAGTTAGAAATTAAATAGGAGCAAAATATTCCCTGGTCAAAGCGGAAAAAAGAATGTGTGGCAATACCAGGTTGAAACTGTACTTAAGAAATTAGCAGTATTTTAAGTATTTCGTTGCCGTTTTGGTTTTCCTGCTCTTCGAAGTAAACTGTAAAACTAAGCGCCGCTAAAGAGACGGCATACCGGTTTCCTCATTGGTCTTGAATTGGTTTTCATCGTTTTAAAAGGGTATTTTATTCATCAGCGAGTTCCAGAAGAACCTCGACCTAGTCCCTTATTTTAGTAGCAACGTAAGTTTTAAGTTTCTAGTTAGTTAAATTGTCTACGCGCTCGGGAATTTTCAGCTATGTTTTCTTAATACTACGTACTTCTGTACACGTAAATACAAATGTAGAATGTAGTTTTGACATTTTTAATGTGTAAGATCTTTAAGTATACATACATACATATATCGTATTATCTATAAATGTGTCCTATCATCTACTATAATCTACTATACAACATACATGCATACATACATACATAACTATTACATAACTTACCTGTACATACATATACATATATACATACATATGTATGTATATGAATATGTATGTATTTTAGTTTTTTTTTTGTCTCGTAACTCTTTCTCAAACTTTGTTGTGTTATTGTTTGTAATTTGCCTTTCCACGTATCTTCCTTTTTATATCTTTTTCTTTCTTATATAGATTTAATACGCCTTATACAACCCGACTTAGATAATTTCGATCCGCGCATTTGGATAATCGCCGTCAGTGTTGTGCTTGGAACTCTTGTGATATTAGCAATTGGACTTTGTATAGTTTTATCGAAAGAATGTTATCAATCATCGCAAGCGGGTACTGAACATACAAACACAGATAATACAAACACTAACACTAGCAACACTAATTATTACACAAGCGCCAGTGCCAAAGCAGATACAGATACAGATGCTAAACGCAATTTGAATGTTGTTGTAATGGCTTAAATTTGATTAAAGTTTTTATGTGTTTGATTTTGGTTTTTGCTTTTTGCTTTTCATTATCGAGTTCGTTTGATCTGCTATGTATACGTACATATGTATATGTACATACTTACATGCGTAGCTTACTACATCATGTGTACATTCATATATGTGTGTTTTGCAATAATTGGAATGCTTATATCAATTTATTTATGCAACAAAATTTTTATGCACAGTTACAAAATTTATTTACTCGTTTATTTTTCTATGCCAAATGGGTAAACTTGTATACAAGTGACAATTCGTTTATCGTGTAATACATGTACCTACATACATATGTATATATTTTATATTTGTTATAGCTACATACTATACTTACATCCAGGCCGGCTTTAGAGTAGCCAGTGTTGCCAGATTTTTTTTTGTAGCACATCCCCATTGCGAGCTCTGAGTAGCATTTAAGATTTAAGAGCGCCGCACAGTGTGCTTTTTGAACACTCTGGGCCGGTTGTTAAATGTCTGATTAGCACAAACCGGAGGTACTGCTTTATCGATCACATGTTATATGCATGTTGTCGAAATCGTCGATAATGATGTTTAAGCGGCAAGTAGTGATAACCAGACATTGAACAACCGGCCCTCTATGTATGTGCATTAATCGAAGCGCTTTCGATAGAAGCAACATTGTGATATTAAGCAGAATGGGTTGAAAGAAAATGTAGTAATTTATTCCCTTTCAAAAGGAAACTACATCAATTGTAAAACATACCTTCTATATAATTCGGATATATGTACATCCTGACCCTTATCATCCTCAATCCTTTCCAAACTGGAAATATTTTCATACATCCATATAAATATAAGTACATATGTATGTAAGTATATGTATATGTACATTTTAAATATTTTAGCTCTTTATGTTTCAATTTATTATTAAAAAAAAACAAAAAACAAAAATTATGAGTGAAACTACCTTCATATTTTTGTATCATGGTCAATGTTGTATCAAGAGTATTCACGTTAAACTGTGTTCACACAAGGCAATGTGCACGTACTTGCGAATGAACTGTATATTGTAGTGTTTTATCGTCCTTCCTCGGAGAACGAGACATTCACACTGGAATTTCTGAATAAATCAAATCTTATCATTATTTCATAAAAATATAGCTTCCTATCTAAAAAAAAAACACATATAAATCAAAATTTCAAACTTTGTAGAACATTTATAAAATTTGGACGAATTTTAACAAATGTGGATCAAAATTTTAAACTTTTTAATCCGATTTTTAGAGTTGTTTTGAGTATGCAGTTTTTTAGGTGTTTTAAATAATTAAGGGGCAAGTTTGAAGTAGCCATGGCCTTATTTTTGATTTGTACCAATTTTTTGTTCGCGCATTTTCTTCTTGTATACAAAGTTTGTTTGAAATTTTTTTTTGTTTGAAGAAGATGTGCAACACCTTTCACAAAAAAAAAAAAAATCAAAAAAAAATTTGAACTTTGTTTTACTAAAATTGGATCGGCTACAAAACTGTATACTGACAACGTAATCTTATACGAAATCTCAAAATTTTAATAAAACTCTGTAGAATTTTACTAATTTTCATACAAAGTTTGAAACTTTGACTTACATGGTTTTGGTTAGACAACGAGCTATACTTCGATAAGAAAAATAATACACATTAAATAATCGGAAGGGAAATAGCTAAAGAATGCTAAAATGTCTCTTCCATATTTATATTTTCGCCACTGTATGTATGTAGTTACGATTTGCCTCTTCCGAAATTCCGCAGGTGCCAAAACTTAGAAAACTACATAGACAAAATTTTTATAAACATTTTTAAATTTCTTGAATTAGGTTAATGAGTTTTTGTTTACAAATTCGCATATACATACGTACATATGTATGTATATATGAACGTAATAGTAATAGCACGTATTGATAGTATCTATGTATGTATTATATGAAATAACCAAATATTTTAAACCATTTTGGAAATAGCAGACTCAGAAAAAACTTAATATTTATGCAGACAATCATAGCTTAATAAATTACATATACATATATATAAATCGAATCAATATTTTCAATTTAATATGTAGAAACCCGCTTTGTATTTACAAATATTCAAAATAATGTATTTTACACGATACATATACACTTTTTCACTTTTCGTGCGAATCTATTAGCTTGTAAGTTACATTGGTAGGCACTAATACAGATATCCATATATATCCATATATATATATATAAAAAAAAAAAAATACAAAAAAAGTTATCGAATAATTTTTACTTAAAGAACTGTAAATATGTTGCTGAAATTGCTGGACGTGTGTTAATGTGTTGTCGTTGTTGTTGTTGTCTTGTGGTTGACTTTGTTGTTGTAAATTAAATGTAAAATAAAACTGAGTTTCTGATTTGCACAAATACAATATGTAGCTGACCAAAATCGATACCGCTTATTTATGTGTGTGTTATTATTTTAGTTACTTGCAACGAAAAAAAGTGGCTTTTCTGTAGTATCGATATTGCATCTCGTTACCCAGCATCATAGTCCCTACCCACAAATCCATCAATCATCATATCAACAATAACAAATTAAATAATTTACAATTTTACATTTCTCAAATGAAACTATAACTGGGTAATTAAAAAAAACCATTCTTGTTCTTTCTATTTCTTTCCATTCTGTATTCTCTCTCCATCTCTTTCTGCTTTTACTCTTTCCTATGCGAAATCAACTCACACTTATTTGCCAAAATTAAAACAAAAAAAAAAAAAAAAAAAAACAACCAACATATCCCCCAACCATTTATTCATTTAATATATATAACACTAATTCAAATCACCCAACTCTCAATTTCTCCACCACCATTGAATTGTCGTCGCCGGCCGACACATTTAAAATGACTTATCGAAAAAAATCTTGACGAACATACAGAATTTGAAGTTGGTTGGGAGAGCATAGAGCTAATACCGAATATAATACTGAATCCGGGCTTCTGTGAATCGGACGGACCAGAGCCAGCGCAGCCATACACGCGAACTATCATATTCGGCGAAGACGACGACAGTGATGGCTACGAGAGCGAGGAGTCCGATCACGAACCGACAATGGAGAAGTTTAAACGAAAGGTGTCGGTATTCTTTACAGGCCCAACAATAAGACGCATTTGAGTCAAATCGGATAAAGGCTGTGGCGAGGGCGACGGACGACGAGGGAACATTTGTTCAGCAGTCGTTTGCGGGGTTTTGCGCCGTTTATTTTTTAGATATACTAGCATAAGTAGAAGCATTTATTTTATATAATGTTATATTTTTGTGTGTAAAAATTAAATTTCTTTATTTAAAATATTCGCGTTCCAATACCGCTAGTATTTGGAGTATATTTGGCACACAAAAAGCTTTTTTTATAAATTTGATTATTACTGCTTCTTTAAAGACGCATAAAGATTCGCACATACGCAGAGTGGTTATGTCATCGAAAAAAATATAAAAAAATAGTTATATTTAATGAAAAACAAAAATAAATGAAAATAAAGTAAGACAAAAAGCGAGCTTTTGTTACAAAATATTTTATAAATTAATGCGTAAGCAAATTGTTACGAAATGCATTCCGTTGTCGTCACTACAAAAGGCCCTAAGTGAAAATGTGACTTGTGGGACATTTCATTCCAGAATATGATTATAACTATGTATGTCGTTAGAACTTATACCAGAGTCAAAGATATTTTTTAACCTTGGTAAATAACTAATGTATAAATTCTTTACAAAAAAAAAACCCAATTATTTCTAAGTTTTTTGTATTTGGTATTTGAATGAATGTGATTGGTGGGACACTAAAAACCCCTCAATGTTACCTTTGTGTGTACTCAAAGACGAATTTTTTGTCAAAACACTTGATTTTCAAGCCAGATTCTTTTGTTGAATAATGCTCGTATCTATTCTTTTTTTTTTGGTAGTAAAATACGTTTTTTTTTTTTTAATTCTAAAAATGTATACTGTGTATAATGCGAATCTAAACTGATTTTGCGTATCTCCTGAACAATTTCAAAAAATGGACATGACACCTTTTCACCTTTAATACTGTCTTGTGAAAAATATAGGGACACAACATTTTTACCAGTTTGACTATTTTTATTTCGATAGTTTAATGTTTATTAATCTTTTATTAGAGTCTAGTTAATTGTATAGTACATAACACCATATATGTAAATCCACATTTCATACTTTGTATAGGAATTAAAAAAAAAAAATCCCAACAAACCTTTTATTCATAAATTCCAATTTTTCAGTTTTGTAGCCCATTAAATTCTAGCAATAAGGTGCAAGTTTCAAGAGGCTAAGAATTCGCGTTTATTTTTGATATTTTTTTTTTTTGCCGACGGTGTTATTATTTTTTTCCATACAAAACAAACTAGTAACTTTGTATGGAAGAAAATGCGTGACGCTGTCAAAAAAAAAAAATCAAAAATCAGCGGTATTTTGTAGACACCTCAAACTAGAAAATTGTCGTTATGCATTATTCAATAATTAAAGGTTAGCTCATTAGTGACATTCGAGTTTTGACACTCCCTTAGCTCCCTTACAAAAGCTTTGCACACACACACACGAACCCACACACAGTGCCTTGCTAAGGGAGCCGATTTTGACAAGAGGGAGCGAGAAAACTGTTTTTTGAGCAAAGCTTTGTTTTTGTTGAATTTTTCCAATTTTTTTACGAAGTTACAACAGGTACACATAGTAATAAAAATTTCTTTATATTATTGCATAATTATAATATACAGTTTTTTGTCCGAAAAAATATACGAGCGTTATGTATAAAGCGAAAGTTTCCATTCACAAAAATTGCAACTTCTTTTTATTTTTATTTTTTTTTTCGATAGATAAATGAATTGTACATAGTCGGTAGTAGTAAGAAGTTCCTACTGAAATGGGGATAATAAGGAATTTTTAAAATTGTTGTCGTTTTCCTCTTTTACCTGAAATGACCCACAAGGATAGCAAAAATATTTTAAAAGAAATTAAGTATGTACACTCAAATCAAGAGCAAACCAACGGATATTAAAAAAAAAAATGATTAAGAATTTAAAAAAATTTCCTATTAAGGGCAGTAGTGGTAATAATGACAACATATACATATGTACATATGTACCTATATGTATGCAGATATGAACATGAAAAGAAAAGTGAATATACATACATATATATGTACATATATGTGTGCACATAGTTAAAAGCCTAGCCTGTAAACACTTTCAAAAAAAAGTAATTACGTAGAATATTGTACTTATAATTTTAAGCAAAGCTGTACACGCAATCACACTTTCAAAAACAAATGCTACTCTTCTAGAAAAACAGTTTTCTATTACAAAGATAAATTACATCTTCATTTTTTTTTTGTATGCTGTTTTTATCACGCATTTTGAAACGGATTTTCATCAACAATCAAATAGAAACACACATTTTTTATCCTGTCCATTATAATTTTCCCTCATACTTTATGGCGTCAGATAAAAGAAAATAAAATACATACATACATACAGTCTAAAATAAATCTGATCATGAAAAAAAGAAAATATGTTTTATAATAATTGGGCGCCATGAATATCCTCCCCATTTGTCGTTCGAAGGCCCAAAATCGTAGGTCCCTCCATTTTCTTTGCAATAACTAGAGGCCGACCGAAGTGTAAGATATATTCATTGGCATAGTCAACAGTTTATATAAAAAAAAAATGTTTAATCTATATGTTTATATAACGTAATTTGTTATAGAAAATAAAATATATGTAAGTGAAGTATAAAATATCTATAGCTTATGCGCAGAAATTTTAAGTTTTAGAGCAAAATGTAAACAAAAATGACGATTCGTAGAGCCCTTCGAAGGAAAAAAAAATCAAAAATGCAACCCTGCTGCTGCTACCTATATTCAACGTGCCTTGGTACTACTTGTATACGGCGCTCCTGAAGAAGCCAACAGCATAAAGCACCGCAAACTTAATTTTAGCGCCTTTTTTTATCTTTTTATCTATTCCCGCCGTGTACGCGACATATGTATGTACATTCTACATTCCTTTACATGTTAAGTACTAGCCGGCATAAAAAATTTTTTTTTTTTTTTTTAATTTAAACTAATTTTTTTTTATTTAAACTAATTGCAGTAAATATGTTTAGTGCAATAAATGAAATTAGTTATAACAGAAAATAAATTTTTAATAATTATACATACTCCCGAAAATTTAAAATGTAGGACAAGTAACTTCGTAAACAAACATAGTTTCGTATGGAAACTCGGTTTAATTATTTACGAAGTTTACGCAGACAAGAGGCATTTACGCGTTTATTTAGATGAATACCCGGTGTATCAATTTTGTTTTATAAACTTTACTTACGTGAAATGCATTTTTTTTAGTTTCGACTTTAGAAAAGGTATGAAAAAACTAAAATGCTTAGGCAGTTATTACGATGCAATTTAGTAGTTGATATATGTACATACACACACATACATACGTAGGTAAATAATCATTGCTGTGATATTTCAATTAAAAAAAGGATTCTGAAAATTGTTGAAATCTGAAAAATGTATGTATGCACGGGCACACATACATACATACACACATAGAAATATATGTATATTAAAGCAATTGCTCGCTTTTTAGAGGTTAAATACGCACATATGTAATTATTTTAATTGTTATTGGAAGGTATTGGTTATTTTTGTAGAAATGTACATATGTATGTATGCACAAAGCCATACATATCCTTGATGAAATGTAGAAAGGCCCTAAGTAACACGATTTTATTTTTTTTAGGAGAGACAAAAAACGTTATATAATTGAAATAATAATTTATTTATTATTTTAATAGTTTATGTTAAATATCAATACCTAACATATTTTTTTAATTTTAAGTTTTTTTTTTATCAATTATGCAGAATTTCTGTCAGCTAGGGCCTTTGGCAATGCGAAGTTATGAAATAAATTTTTCAGTTAGGGCTTTTTAAATGAATTAAAAAACTGTTTTCCAGCATTTTCATCAAACAGTAGACATTTACCGCAAATTTTTAGACAAAAGCACGACGAAAATGATTCCCCTAACAATCTGGATGGCCTTTGAGACACAAGGTATTTCCGTCCTTTGTCTTATGGTGATTTCGTTTTTCACACGAAATTTGGAACACAGACTATAATTCAATATAGTCAAGAATTTTAGCTGGTCTCGGAACTATTTACAAAGGCAAAGCCTTCTAAACTTAAGCAATTTTTTTTTTTAAGTTTTATTTGCATTTTGTTAATTTTTTGTAACAAAAGTACTTCAGTTAAGGCTTTTTAGTTTCAGAAATTTTCATTCGTTCAGTTATGGCTTTTTAAAAAGTGGCATTACTTCGCTAGTTTTTGAGTAACGGTTCTAAACTTTTTAGTGAAGATGGGTTTTTGTATTAGCTTCTTGGGAATGCAAAAAAACCAAATTTGGAAAAAAAAGGTCAGTTAGGGCCTTTCTACATTTCATCAACGATGTGTATGTTTTGTATGTAACTAGGCAATTCTGAAAGAAACATGTTTTAGAATTTAATAATAAAGTCAATATCTACGAATAGATAAACATATACATATATACGTAACTTGGTAGATACCTTAGTTCTTGAAGATTTATTTTTAATCCAGAAATAAATTAGATGTCAGTAGAGAAATTTCAAAGAAGGTTTTTAAAGCAATTTTTTTTTATTAATAAGAATTTATTTGTGCTAATATTTTCTGAAAGTATACTCCGGGGATTTGCAAAAGTTAGCTCGTATTTTTAAAATCTTATCGTTTTTAGCACAAATACACATGCAGTTATGTCAAAATGAAAGTAGGGAAACCACAAGTAATATCCATTTTTGTTGTTCAATCAATCTAGGGAATTTTACGTTGATGACATTGGCATGTTTGCTTCGAATCTATTTTTGAAGCAGCGAATAAAGTTCAATTTTCCTTCCTTCTTGCCATGGATTTTTTATTTAAATTTTTTAGAGACATTTACTTTGGTAACTTAAAGATTTTGCCTAGTAAAATTTTCCGAAAACTAATTCTCTAGAACATTTTAATCCTCTCACGACCTACCAAACTTGCTTTTTGAGGATGTTTTGAAGCCAGCTTTTGCAAATCCATCGAGTCTCTTATTATTGGATAGGTATACTTTCAGAAAATGCTAAGAAAGTCCGGTTTCGGCTGTCGCACAGTTATTAAATTGTTGGAATTAATCATATCTTTGAAACTACAAAGTCCTTTTAAAAAAAACCTGACTTCAAAGACTAAAAACGCGGTTTTACTATATGTATTTGGCCCATAGTCTCGTGAGTGTAGAAATTGATTGCTTCGTGTGTTTCCAATTTTTTTTTGTTTTTGCCGCACGGTGTAATAGATGCCTCGCTCTTTTCAATGTAATAAATCACTCTCTTAATTTATGGTTGTATTATATTTCCTTAAAAGATTGTCTATAAATATTTTGAGTAAGTATGCAGTTTCAGTGTATAAAGTGCAGGTTTCAAGCAGAGCTGGACACTTTTTTGAGTACGATTACATTCTAATTACGACAATTGCTTAATTGTAATCCTTAAATTATATACAATTACGATTACGATTACTTTAATTGTAATCATAAATGTTACCATTACGATTATGTATGTATATTCGGGAAAGGTGTTCCTCGCAAAAATGTTGTGGTCAGCCTGACCGGAGTTGGACTGTCGAGGGTTGTTTTGTTGACGAAAAAATGGCATATCGCCGCCGACGACGACAACCATAACAGAGCCGAATAATTATAATCTTAAAAATTTAAGGACTAAATTAATGTAATCGTAATCATGAAAAACGTGATTGCGAATACTGTAATTGTAATCCTAAAAATGTTAGTATTGCAATTACAGTAATTGTTAATATAAAAATTACAATTCCGAA